CATCATCGACAGAGGTTCGGTCATTTTTAAAACGTGAATGCCACACAAACGTTTGTGCACGACCCATTGCGGACTCCCCAAATGCTTGCTTTAGCATTTCATAGGTTTCCGTAGCCGTTTTGGCGAGTCTTTGGCAAAATTTGATGCACCCGCCATTCCGAAATCGCAGGAGGGTCGGTGTAATGCACTACCAAAACGCCCGTAACTAAGAAACAAATGCTAATTCGATGATGCCGGCTGGCACACTGATTCACTATGAATGTAGGCTGCACCCCTTAGCGGCAGAAGCTCGTACTACATCCGGTTCGCCCTCTATTGACACAGTCTTGAAACTTTCCGATCGCACCTCGTATATCTGTTTAGCCAACTTCACTACGGTATGTCATAATTGGTATAATTGTATGTTCATTTGTTATTTTGGTTATATTTTGTGATTTAGCTAAGGCTCAGTAAAAAAAGAAAGAACGAAAATTGAGAGAAATTTGAACAGGTCGATTCTGAGTGGATATTTAGAGTTAAGATCCTGAACAAAACCGCGGCAGTTTCAATATTCGCCTGCAGAAACCAAAAATACGCCACTTGCACTGCATTGGGACGCGTCGTGTTTGCAAGAGACCACATCGATACTGAGTGAAGTCCCTGCAAAAACTGTGACATGCTTAAAATAATGTGACGGGTAACTATTTTAAATCGAATCAACCGTAAAGTGCAGAGTTTGGAGCTGCCACGTAGTCCAGTTCAGTCGTGGTCGGTAAATCTCATGCTTAGTATTTTTTTTTCTTACTAGGGTACATCACCTTTTCTTTTGTGTCCGGCCTTCAGATAAGAACACGGATCGATGTTCCAGAACAATGCTGAGTCGAATGTTTGAGTCAGAGACAAAAGACATAACAGGACGATGCTGATAAATATGTAAGGGGCTCTATAATTTTACTTTTCACCAAATTACTGCTATCGTTGGGGAGATGAGGTGTGTTGAGTATAACATTCATAGGAGGGAAGAAATGCGCAGAAAAATTAGGCGGAGAACGTAGTAAGTGTAAGGATAATATTAAAATGTGTATCATAGAAATAAGTTTTTAACACCTCGACTAACTAGCTCAGAATTGGGCCCAGTGACGGGCTCTTGTACCTTAGGGTTCCAAAAAGAGCGGGATCAACAATCAGCTTCTTGACTGGAACTCTTTTTTATAAAGTTTATTTAGTTAAATACACTTCTCCAATTCAGTCGTTATAAGATGTACTTCATCAGAATTTTTGTGTTGGGCCTCATACGATTCTAAGAAATGTAAGCTCATTTAAGTGTTTTAATCAAGCCTTAATTCAGCTGCGTGGATGTACGTATTGTGCCCATTGTACAAATTCTGGAAGATAAATGCAGAATAGCTATTATAGAATTTGTTCGTCAGCATACATCTCTGAAATTACTCCACCGATTAG